AAATAACAAGAGAAACCTGTGTCGCGTACTTCGTCGTACCCCATTCAGCGGGCAGGCATGACCCTTCTCCGTATGGATTCATGGAAGTCACGCAAAGGGGAGTAGTGATCCAGGCTGTAGGGAAGAGGGCTTGACTTCGTGGCACTGTACGAGAAAGGTCATTTCCCCGGTCCCCACCTGCTCGGTGGGACAGAAGGGGAGTGCCACAGGGCAGAAGATGCGAGTGCTGCAGAGGTCTGCAACCACACTTGTGGCCTCGTGGGTATTCGGGAACTTGGGGGTAAATGGCCAGGCGACCAGCCTGGCTGTCTCTGGGTTACTCTACAAAGTATGGGTGTTGCCAGCTTCCCGCCCCCTCTGGGTCCCCTAGAGAACCAGGACTGTGTACTAGCCTGCAGGCCCCACCTCTGATGGCAGCACAGGCCCATCGATACTCCTCTCCCCACGTCCTAACCGAAAATGTCCTCGCTCTTTCCCTCCCCACAAAGGCTAGGTGTGGCTCAGGAGCCTCTTGGTGAAGGAAGAAGCGGGATGGACCTATCTTTCCCTTGGCTGCTGCTAGTGATGGTCCTCCGGCCCCTGGGAGGAGGGACTGCAAGGGGCTGCAGGCTGGTCCTGCACCCACGTGAAGCTCAGCCCTGTCCTCTCCCACACCAGCCTGGGTGTCTCTGCTGGAGGCTAGGTCTGCCCCAGGTCTCCCACTGACGTCCCACAGGGACAGATGCCTCCCTTATTTCTCTCCCCCAAATCCCTGAGGCCTATGGGAGGCCTCTGCAAACCAGGGGGCTTTTGCCGAGACTCCAAACTTCTCAGAGTAAAAAGCACTCAGAGCTGAAGGCAACCACCTGGGGTCTGAGCGGGACAGCAGGGGAGAGGCTGCTGCGCTGGCCCCTCCGGGAAGGCAGCCGGGAGTGGGCAGGAAAGCTGAGGGTGGGTGCCACCAGCAAGTCACTGAACTGCCGAGTGTGATTCGTGTGACATGGAGAGAAAGCCGCGACTCGCCCACTTGGGACACGGCGTGTAGACCCAGTGCGTGCTGAGCCGGGGGTGAGCCTGGAGACGCCGTGGCAGCCCTCAACCTGCTTGACGACATGCAGGGGTGACCCTCTTTCGCAGGAACACTTCGCTGAAGAAAGGGTTAGGGGAGAATTTTCAAGAGGAATTACCTTCTGTTCTCCGCAAAGGGCAGAGGGGCAGAGTGTGGCAAAGGAAATCTGGAGGAGGTCCTCAGAGGGTGGTGGGGAAGCCATTTCCAGGGACAGCTGGCCCCTTTGTGTGGGGAGGGGGTGAAAGGAAGAGATGCCAGCAACACCCGAGAACATCTAGAGCCTCCCCTCGGCTGCCAATCCCCACCCTGAAGCCCCCCAGCAATGTGAACCAGACGAGCAGCCTCAACCTGAATACCCCAGACATGGCATGAACCCCTTTGGGGCTCGGCACCCTGTCTCCAGCTGCTTCCCAACTCGGGTCCTGAGATGGGGATTATGGCCGATGTACCCACCCCCACCAGCCTGAAGCCACGCAGCAGGCTTCCCACCCCCCCCACCCCCATAGCACGGCCTGCAACATTGCTGACCTTCCAGTGATGGTTTGCGGGGGGCGGGGGCAGCTGTACCAAGATGCACAAACGTGCTAGGTGAGGGCCAAAGGGATCAGTGTCCTCACAGCAAAGCGTGGGGACACCTCTCGGCCACTTCAGGGTTCCCTTCTAGTCTGATAGCTCAGACTTCCTAGAATCAGAGCACCAGGGAAAACCACCCGACTTTTAAGAAAAAGAAACCTTTCCATCAGAAGAAGCCACCCAAAGAAAGAGGCAACAGCTACCAAGGTTTACCCATTTTTATTTTTTATAAAACAAGCTACAGATATCTCCCTCCATCCTCACAAAGGAAAGCCACACAACATAGCCTACACGTGTGTGAGAGAAGATGCCAGGGTTGGGGAGGGGGGACTCTGAATTTCCACAGGGGGGCGCCCTATCTGCGTTTTCATGCTTCCTCCAGGTCAGGGAAAGGGGCCGGGGCCTTCTGGAAGGTCCATCTAACTCTAGCACGCTGGGTCATCTGGTCCAGGCCAGTGGGGGGTGGGGGGCCCCCTTTCCTCCTTACCATGTTGGCATGTCTTAGTCACCCCTGAGACAACCTCCAGGACTTGCTCAAGAACATTCTCTAGCCCGAGGCCCCGCCAGAGCATGTCCCGAGGAGGCCGTGCCCGCCCCCCAGCTCCGCCCCAGGCGCTCCCCGAGCAGGGCCTCGAGTGGGTCCATACTTACGGCGCCAATTCCTTCCAGACCCGAAATGGGATACACAGTCTGCTGAGGTGGGTGCACTTATGGGAATGCTGGGTGAGCTATGAGAGGAGGCCAGATTTCCAAGAGCGATCCGATGGGGGCACTGGTCCTGGGCCACTTGTCCTCCTTCGTTGCTGCCGCAGCCGCTCATGGGAAGAGATGCTAAGTGTCCCTGGTTGCTCTCTGTCTGACAGCTGTCTGAATGGGCACGGCCACCCGGGCAGAGGAAGGCTGGGCAGCCTGCAGTGGAATCCCAGTCACATGTCTGTGGAAGGTGAGGCCCGGATTTCCCCCTAGCTGGGTTATTAGCCCTACACTTCTACAGGGGGCAGAAGTAGGAGACCCAGAATCAGTTTTGCTCTGGAATTGGCCTCAAGCCTAGAAGCCCTTAGGAGCATTTGAGGGAACAGGAAGAACCTCAGTATTGGGTTAAAAAACAAAGAAACCACTGAGTTACCAACAAGATGACCAGCCGAACTCCTCCCTCAGGCTTGTCATCACCGCTGAGGACAGGATGGCAGGGGAGATACAGAGTGGAGATGAAGCCCCGGCCTGACCCTGCGGCTGAGACGGCCAGTCTCGGAAAGCCACGCTTGTGCATTTGCAGGGGGCTGGCACCGCACCCATCAGTGCTGGCCTCTGTCCTCTTCCCTCCACTGCTTAAACATCAAACATCCACTAAATAGAAGGCCCCACTGTATCTTTTTCTTCTTTGCCTCCCTTCTCGTGCTTTACAGAGTAGATGCTAAACATGGGTGAGAACGTTTCAAATGACCTAATGCAAATCGTCTGAGAATCATTTGCTCGGTGGGTCACGAGGATACTGACATACCCACGGACGGATCCTGGGCCGCCTGAGGTCCAGAGAGCAGGACCACGTGGGCATGGGAGAACTGGTGCCTGTGCTGGCTATTGCCCTCCCTCTGGGGGCAACTCCCATCTGTCCCTCAACCCAACCTCCCTTGGGAAGGCCAAACGCCCAGCGACCTGCTGCCTCTGACAGCTAAAGCAAGGGCAGGACCCTCCTCCCACCAGGAAAGAACCAATGGAGTCTACAATATAATCGTAGGGCTCCCGTCTTCATGCACACCGGGGTCAGTGTCCAAATGGAATCCAGGTGGGCTGGGGATTCAGTCCTGGGTTCTAGAAAGCTGGGCTATGTGTCCGGAGCCCCCACAACGAGAGCGGGGTGGGGCGGGGGGAGGAATAAACAAATAGCAAAATGCCAAAACCTGTACAAAAGAACTATACAATTTACATATATATTTATGTACAGTATATAAATCTCTTTCTTCTCAGTCCCAGCAACAAACACCCACCCGCCCCCCCCCCACCAAAAAAAAAACCCCTCGAAGTTGTCAGTAGCAGATCCAAAAACTTACAATAAGATAGAGAATAAACAGTCCTTTTCCCTTTCCTTTTCCCACTGTGGTATTAGATACTGGTGCTTAAAAATGAAACCGAAAAGAAAACACGCAAATGAGAGTTATCAAAAGTGCAAACACGGTGGGCACCACTTCTGTTACACGGGATGTGGCCGGGCCGGGGGAGCTGGTGAAGGTTAGGTGTCGGGTGGTCCGTCCTGCCTCCCTGGTCTCTCCACCTGCCCTTTGGTTTTCCGCTCCTTAGACGAGGCGTCCTACTGGGAAGGGAAAGCAGAAGCAAGGGGTCAGAGGCGGGTTTATGAGAAGCCCAACCGCACACATCCATTTACCTCACGAGGGCAGCCTGTTAGACCCGGGCTGGGCAGGACACGGGGAGCCTCGACTTGCAGAGAAGCCCATCCTTTGCCCCCATGGCGCACCACAGTGGCCCCTGAGACAAGTCTGGCCTTCCTTGTGGAGGCAGCACGGCTGGGGGGCGGGGGGTGCAGCCCGTATAAGCCATACTACTCCCAGCCGCTAGCCTTCCAGCCTGGGAAAGGCCGGCGTGGCTTTGTGCGCGGGGACCGCAGGATCCTTGCAGGATGAACCAATCTTTCCCTCGTGTCCTCAGCAAACGAAAATGGAAAATGGCAGCCTAGGGAACTTGGTCAACTCCTCCACTCCTGCTAGCCTACCGTTGCTGCATTTAGGGGGCCCACGGAGGGGACCCCAGAAAGGCATCTTACTGAATGGGTTCGGGCCTGCTCATTTTCCCTGGGGGACGTTGCCAAGACTACCACCTGCAACGAATAGCAACGGATGCCCCTCAAGGGGCCTTGACCCAGAGGCCTGGCGGAGCTTACTGGGTGTCTGTCTCCTCCAGCCCCCAGAATGAAGACTGGATTCAGGAGAGAGCCAGGTTGTGCTGCCTGTTCTGTGGGTGTTGGTGGCCCTGGGCTGCTGGGGTGAAGCCACCGCTGGCCAGCACCTTTAAACAAAGTCCCTTTCCATGAGCCAGGCCCGCACTGGGGTGCCTCTCTGAAATCCCCTCAGCTATTAGCTAAGAAGGGCTTTGATGCTGATGGACATTTGCATAACCTTCTTGGGTCCTGCTTCTCCAAGTCACAGAACATCAGGGGTGGAGGGAATCTTAGTGACCATCTGGTCTCGCCCCTTCACCTAACAAATCCGGAAACTGAGGCTTGAGCCATTGAGTGAGTTAAACAAGGCCCAAGTCTCCCCCTGCTAACACCCACTCTGCCCCAGAGGGTGCTGATGGGTCTCGGAGGCTCCTGCAGGGCCCAGGGTTCCTCGAGGAGGAGTGGGAGCTGAGAGGCCAGTGCACCAAAAGCCGGGCCAGCTCTGCGTGACCCCTGGAGGCCGCGTGACTTTGTGCACGTACCTTAACCCCGCTGGGTCAGTCTACAGAATGGGAATCAGGGCCACAGCTTTGCTGCCTCTACCCTGCCTGTCACAGGCCTGCCTCGGGGACTGACTGAGTCCATGAAGTGGAGAAAGGGCTTTGAAGGGCATGAAGTGCTGCGGGAACCCACGCCCACCCACGGGCCACGCGAACCCACGGCCCAACGCCCCCCTCTCCCAGTCACACTCCTAAGACCTGAGAGCAACAGAACCCAGTTTGGGCGGCGGGGGCGGGGCAGATACCGATATGTCCGATTTTACAGAGGAGATAGACACCCAGTGTCTGGGGCTGGAGGAGACAGACACCCAGTAAGCTCCGCCAGGCCTCTGGGTCAAGGCCCCTTGAGGGGCATCCGTTGCTATTCGTTGCAGGTGGTAGTCTTGGCAGCGTCCCCCAGGGAAAATGAGCAGGCCCGAACCCATTCAGTAAGATGCCTCTCCGGGGTCCCCTCCAAACAAGCCTGGGAAGAGAGTGATGGGTTCGGGGGCCGGCAGGTGGGCAGTGACAGAATCCCATCATTCATCTGCTCCATCCAGCGGGGCTTCTGTCAGTGCTGTGCAGAAAGATTCAGACACAGGGAGAGAGAGAGGCACCTTAGTCATGCCCCCGCCCACCGAGCTGAGATTCGGGAAAGGAAATGCACGCCCAGTAGGACCCAGCCCTCACTTGGGGAGGCTTAGGGCACTAACCCTTTACCCAAATCCCGTCATTTACCCCACGGGGCAACTTTATAGGATAGTTACAAAATGATCCACTTGTCCCTGTGTTATGATGGGGGGACTGAGACTTGGAGATGGCATAGCTTTTATGTGTGAAGTGAACTCAGGCCTGGCTCTGTCCTCCCAGCACCACGCTCTTAGGGGGTGCAGTGGGTGGGGGGAGCCTGAACCCAGGGCAGGCGGCATCCTCGGGCAAGGCCAAGGGAGGGCTGAGATGTTTCACAAATGGAGGAACAAGTCTCCAGGCTGCCTGCCTCACAGGATGGTGACCATCATCCTGACGAAGACGTTTTATTAACTGGGGAGGAGCAGCTAAGAAAGAAGGCCCGGCCCTCAGAATGCCTGACCCCTTCTTGCCCTGCAGACAGCTCAGCTCCCCAGTGGGCAGTTTGCTTAGTCAAAATACCTGTGTTCACAGGCACTTCCAGAAAATGTGGTCCCTGAGACCCAAAGGGACACGTGTTCCTAAACTGCGTGTGCTCCCCCAGCCCCCTTGAGCCCCTACCTGGCCTGCAAGCCCCTCTCGGCCCACCAGAGGGCACCGCATGACACCAGATGACCAATGCCTGGGCTCAGGCCCCACATAACCTTCTACCCAAGTGGCTTTCTGCCGCCCCCCAGAGCAGAGGACCCCAGGGAAGCTGCCTTCAGCCCATGGGCGTGCTCCTCTACAACTACCAATTTCTTTCGTGCGTTCACCCCGGACCAGGGTACTGACCAGGGTACTGGGCTTAGTTCCTCACATGCACCATCTTGTTAAATCTTCACACCAAGCCTATGAGGTAGATACTGTCATCTCCATTTTGCAGGCAAGGAAACTGAGGCTCAGAGAGGTTAGATGACTTGCCGAGGACTACAGGGCTAGCGAGTGGCAGGGCTAGGATTAAAAGCCAGGTTTGTCTGCCTTCAGAGCCTCTGTTCTTACCCGCAGCCCCGACCCCGCCTCCCCTGCGCCTCTCACTAATGGTCCTTTCTCCGGCAGGCACAGCCTGCTTAGAAACTATGGGTCTCCCCCCTGAGTTTGCTGGTGGCTCCCTGCTCCCAGCAGCCTCTACTCCCGTTCACACCCCCCCAAGCTGGGTCTGCTCCCCCGTTTCTCCAGACTCACCACTGGTCTTGTCTCCCTTGGCCTTCCTCAGGCAAGCAAGACTGGCCAGTTCACACAAGGGACCAACTTCGAACACTCTGAAGTCCTTCTCATGGAGGGGACAGCGTTCTGGCCTGGAAATTCTGAGGCTGGGTCCAAGGGCTAGCAGTGACGCTACCTCCCGTGTGACCTCTGACCTCGAGCAAAGTGCTATTCCTCTCTAGGCTCACCTAGACACCTCGACTGCAAAACGGCCTGAGGACACATGCACACACAGACGTGCCTGCACGCACACACACAGATGTGCACATGCACCAACCCAGAGAGACGCACATACGGACATGCACGCATGCACGCCCACGCACAGACCACGCACACACATGCGGAGACAGGCGCGCGCTCAGACGTGCACACAGACACTTGCCTACACACACAGCATGCCCGCGGGGACACGCACAAACACGCCTCTGCGCAGACACACGCAGACACACGCGCCCCAGCCACCCTTGGAAGCAGGCAGTGTGTTCCGGGGTCAAGAGCCGTCCCAGGGCTCTCGGGCCTCTCCTGTCCCGTTCCCGGGGGAGGAGTTCAGGGGGGGAGGCTGACAGGTGCTGGGCCAAGAAGGCGCTGGGCTGCACTCTGAAGCACTCGAGAGGCCTCCCTGGGCAACGCTGTGAGGGTAACTTGACACTAAAGCCTTGACCGAGTCTGGGCTGAGGAGGAGCAGTGTGCCCTAAATACCACATTCCAGGTGACAGTTGTCCTGGGTGCTCCCCTCAGGTCCTGGGAAGCAGCCAGGGTTGGCAGATCCTGGGGCCTGGCGAGGCTTCAGAGAAAGGCCCGGAAGCCCCTCTCCGCTCTGCGGACAAGAGGTCACCACGCTCGGCCTCCCCTTGGCATCTGTGCGCTGCATAGACCAGGGGGGACTGAGGGCAGAGTCATTACAGACCCCGTGGGTCCGAACCTCCTCGGTCCTTACGAGCTCCTGGGTGGGCCTGGGCTCTACACCAACACTGGGTGGTCTCTCTGCCTGTGCTCTGGGAAATAATGCGATGGTGCCAAGCACGGCACTGGGGGGGGGCTCCTCAGGGTATGGGTGCTGCTGCCTCAGGCAATAATCTTAAGAACAGCGATGTTGAACTTCTATCCAGGTCCTTCACCGTCTCAGGCGCTGGATAAATGTTTTCACTCACTGTCCCACTGAATCAGCACAACAGATACCCTGGTTGCTCCCATTGTACAGATGAAGAGACTGAAAGCCAGAACGGCTGCGTGGTTTGTCTGTGGTGAAGGAGCTGGTCTGGGGCAGAGGGCAGGGTTTGAGTCATGACATTGCACTGCGTCCTGGGGGAACGCACAGAGGCGTCCTCAACCAGACAGGAGTGGTCAGAGCAATGAGCCATGGAGGGGGCAGGTCCCAGACAGGGTCCCTAGCGGTCATTCATCCGCTTCCTGTGCTACCCGCTGGGTTCAGTGCCTACCGAGGGTTAGCACCAGGAAAAGCCCTTATGTTTTCTCCCTGGGCAATCTCAGCTTTTTCAAAGCTTCCACTTCAAATAAATTGGTATCACCCGCCCAGACCCTTCACCTGCACTAGAGCATCCTTCAGGTGCATCCAACCTGACATGTCCAAACCATACCGGTTGTCTCCGTTTCCCGCACTGCAGCCAGAATGATTTTTTAAAGCAAAACCAATCCAATCATTTCTCTGCCTGGACCTCTATGACAGCTCTCTGCTGTCCTTATGAAGTTGAGACTCTCCCCTTGCCTCCCGTCAACCCCCCCAGCTCTTGCCATCTTCAAATACGCATTTCAGTCCCACTAACATCTTTCAGTTCCTCTGCTACTGTTCCCTCACCTCTACACCTTCATGCTTCAGCCGCCGTAGCCGAGAACACCCCTCCCACCACTGACACCTGGGCTCGGCCATCTCCTACCCATTCCTCGGGGCCTGGTTTAGATTAGGGCTTGGCAAACTTCTCTGTCAAGGACTAGGTAGTAGATATTTTAGGCTTTCTGGCCCATGCAGAGTCTGTCATTTGTTCTTCTTTGTTGAAAATTACATCCCTTTAAAAATATAAAAAGCACCCTTAGCTCACAAGCCATACAAAAATAGGCCACGGACTAGATGGGGCCCGTGGGCCATAGGTGGTTTAGACATCACTTCCTGCACCAAGTTTTCCAAGGCTGTCTGTCCCTGAGCTAATTTAAGTGCCCCTACACATGTTCCTACAATACCCCACACTTGTTCTATCATGACAGAGATGATTAGGTTTCCACCAGAATCCATGTTCTCCTCCTCTTCCTGGGCTCCCCGCCTTCCTTACTGTGCGGTGTGGCCTGGTGGCCCTTCCAGCCCGGGAGACAGGAGAGGTGATGTGTGTCACTGCAGGACTGGCCCATAAAACTCCCCCACATGCACTGCTCCATGCTTGACTCCATCTGGCCGACTAGGAATGGAAATGACCCCCAGGGTGACCTTGAAGCCACATAATAAAAGATGACGAGCCATTCTCAGCCAAGATCTCTGAGAGACTGCACAGAGCAATCTCCATTCCTATTCGTCCCCGCCCCCGCCCCCCACACGCACGCACGCACGCACCATGACCTGGAATCCCGCTGAACTATTGTGTGGGCAAGAAGAGCAAACTTGTCCTGTGTTGAGCCATTACATGTGTGGGTCTACTCGTCACCGTGGTCTGGCCTATCCTGAGGCACTCCTACAGCACTTACCACAGTGTCTGTAAATACTTCCATATTTGTCTCCTCGGTAGACTGTGGAAGGACAGGGATTTGACCTGTCAACTCCTTCACTGCACCAGGCATCTCGTGTAGAGCATAACACACCCTCAGTAAGTAGTTGAACACATGAGTACCCGGGGTCCCCTCTACCGGGGGGGAGCCCGCGGTCCCTGTTCCCCAGGTGAGCCACGTCCTGGAGGGCCAGGAGCACAGGAGCGAGCACTCACCTTCTTTGCTGACACCCAGGCAGCCCTTCAGCTCGGGCAGTGAGATGACCTTGTCCTTGTTCAGGTCACAGTAGTCAGTGAAACGCCGGGCACACTTCTTGGGCTTGGCTTTCTTCTTCACGTAGCGCTTGAAGGGCTTCATCTCCCGCTTGTTGATGTCGTTGCTGCTATTGCTATCCAGCTGGCTGAAGTACCAGTGCACCACGCGCTCCTCCAGGGTGTGGCTGGGGTCCGGTTCTGAAAACCTGGGCCACAGGCAGACCCCCCGCCCACCCCGGAGAGCCCCACTCAGGATCCTGCAGGGACCATCCGCCCCGCCGCAAGTCTCTCCCCCCAGGCCAGATGCCAGGGTCCTCGTGCTGGGCTGCTGGCGGCCAGGGAGAAACGGCTCTTCCGAGCCAAAGACCTCCTGGCCCCACTCGGCCGGCAGCAGGATCGAACCATCCTCTCCTGCTTGACTCTCAAGACTGGAGAGTTTATTTCTCCAGGGTCCCTGAGTGGGCCCTCCTTGTTACATGAGCCTGTCTCACCCTCTACCATAGCCAGGAGTGTTCTTGTACAAGATGGGTGCTCCGGATATATTGACTAGATTTAATTCACCTGAGTAAACCGCAGCCGGGATCCAAGCCGTCCTCCTGGCCTGGTGTTCTCTGCGGGACAAGCTGCTGTTGGCCCGGGAACGTGAACACTCAACGAATGGGACTATGGGAAAGCGTGCTCTGAGCACATGCACACACTCGACACCAGGCCAGGTTCTGGGATGAGTGGCCCTGGCCTCAAACTGCTCAAATGTCCTGGTGAGACAGAGCCAAATACCCTGACATCAGGCAGTGATGATTCCGTGTGAAGTTCCCATGGTCTGTCCCTGTCAGGCACCAAGTACGGTAGGAATCGAGAGAAGGCGGTTGTGATGGACACAAACAGAGGCTCTGAAACTGGCAAGTCCCAGACCTACTGGGGGTGCGTCTCTCCATGCAGATATTCTAAGACTGGAGGTCTGGGATGGACCTAGGAAACTGCAGGTATACTAGAACCCCTGGGGATTTTGCTTAGGAGTACCAGACTAGAGCAACCAAGAAGGCTTCCTGGGCTCAAGGGGCACAGTGATGACCACACGTCTAACACAGTCCTGTCAACACCGGACATAAAGTGGCAAGACCAATGTTTTTATGTGTAGCTGTATGCACGCCCTGCCCATCCATTTTCTTTACTTACGCTCTATCTCCCCCACCCCCCACAAACCCATTCAGGGTGCTAGCTAATATGTAAAACTTTTCGAGCCAATGACTGGTCTGCTCCAGAGGGGGTGACTATGGCTCCTGCCCTCAGGGCTTGGCACCGAGTAAATGTGGCCCAGGCCCTTGTGTTCAAAATCCTGGGCACCTTTCCCTTTGTAGGGGGGAATAAGGCTGAGGTTGGGAGGCCAACACCTTCAAGCAGTCTGTAGGGCCCTGGGTTCAACTACAGCACCACCACGGATCAGAAGTGGAGGTGGAGGGGCTCACTGTCACACAGGGATCCCGGACCAGGGGTTCCGGGCTGCCAGCACATTCTGAAACTGCATCTGGCAAGAAAAATATCCAAGGCACTTGCCAATACCTTGGGGTTCTTCCCTGGGGTTTGCGGAGTTTTCCAGAAGGGAGGGGAACCATCTCTGACCCCACCCTTATGAACGAGCCAGCGAACTCTTTCCCTTTCCCACCCCCAAGTGACCTCAACGTTTAGGGGAAAAGAAGTTTCATTACCCCAAAAAGCCAGGCATCCCTGCTAAATGCCCATTCCTAATTAACTGGATTGCAGTCCTGGGCAGGCCCCCCTGGGCATCCTGGGCTGATTCCCAGACAGCACAATTACTCCATCTGCCAGTGGGATGTCATCCTGACAGGTTTAATGCGGGAAGTATCTGGGGAAGGTGTGAGGGACCATCCGCCCCTGGCTCTTTGGGGATCTGCCTAGTCTGTCATGGAAGACAGGCTCAGAAGGTCTTTGGAACAGACGTGGAGCTATTTGTTGTGGAACTCAGATTTTTGTTTCTGCCAGCTCCTGGTATTTTGGTGTTTTAGCGCTCCCTCTGTTTTACCCACAACATTCACTCTCAAGCCTGCAGCGTAAACTGGGTGAGCAGCGGAGAATTCTCTATCAAGATGTCCACGGCACAGGAGGGAGGGTGGCCAGCTCCCTCTCAAGCACCCTGCCTGCCTGTGTTCCCCTAAATGTGAGGCCCGCCCCCCCCCCGGGCTGCGGAGGAGAGCCAGGAAGAGCCCCAAGGGAGGCGCTCCAGCGGTCCCACAGAGTGCTCTCCCCCTGGGTCCCTTCCGCCAGGGGCCCTGGGAGCCCCGTGGGCAAAGGCAGCTCTTTAACCTTTAGGCTCAGCATAGCGTCATGTCTACCTAGAGGCTGGAATAATAAAGCCTCAGTCGCCCAGCCGGGAAGGGATGAGGTCATCCCGCCCAGCCGCCCTGCCAGGAGAGGCCCGCTGCCTCCAACACGTGTTGCTGGGGCTCCCGCCAGCCTGGTTCTCAGGGACTCCACCGAGGGGGCTCCCCCACCTTCCTTTGGGCTGGTCCGCGCAAGAAGCAGCCCTTCGCCCCACTTTACAACCTCTGGGAGGTTCCCCCCACGCAGAGTGACCAGCATTTTGCTCCCGCCCCCTCCTCCTTCCTTTTCTTCTGACTCTCCCGGCCTGCCCTGTCTCCCTTATCCTCTCAGTCCTGCCCTCCTCACTCCCCCAGGGTCCTGCGGCCATGACCCCTGGCCTAACCTGGCCCTGGGGGCTCCGAGGATACTCACTTCCCCGGGAGAAGTCCTCCGAGGCCCTTGCAAGCAGTGTCTCTGGTTCCCTCGACCCTGCCACACCCTCAGCCTGTCCTGTGGACCCCGGAGGGCTCCCTCTTCCTCCTTCCTCCCCAGTTAGCATAGGGCTCCCTGCTTCTGAACTCCTTTGACTTCCAGAAACCCACATCCCACCCCCACCCCTGACCACAGAGCCCAGCTCTACATGTGACACTGGCAACTCAAGGGTCCCACTTGGGAACCCAACGCTTTACCCTGGCCAAGCTCCAAGTGCACTTAAAGCAAGAATTTCTTAGCTTTGAGGGATCATGGACCCTTCAGAGAACCTAAACAAAGTCACGGTCTTCTCTGGAAAATTGCATATGCGCATAGCACTCTGCTGACTTTTGGGGTTTAATGGACTCCCTAAACCTCATCCGAGCTAATGGATTCAAGTGAAGAACCCTTGATCTAGAGGGAAGGAGACTCCAGCCATGGTCCCAGAAGAATGTTTAACAGTGAGCCTTCTGGAAGAAGATGGGGGGAGACAAAGGATGGTAGCTGGAGGGGTTTGGAGGTCATTTCCAACAAATATTTCCAACAAAACAAAACATAATAGAAAACTACTGAAGGCATTTAGTCTAAAACTCTGAAAACCAGGTTTCTGGGTTTACAACAGCCTTAAGTCTGCACCATGCTCCATACAAGATCGAGTCAAAATTGAGATAGATCAGGAGTCTGGGTTTAGTCAAACCGGCAGTGGGCATGCATGTGCGAAAGAGCCAAGAGAGGCCTCAGTTAGTTAAGGAGAAGCTAAGATTTTCCCCGGGAAGCGCTGGATGGGTGGGGCAAAAGGGCCTTCCCCAGAGTTTCCAGAAACCTCTCAAGCAGTATTGGAGTCCCTTCCATCACAGTTAGACTCTCCCAAACTTACCCCTGACCTCAAAGCCATACCCCACTGATCCCTCCAGCTCTTGCAGGTTCTAGAAGTATCCTCTAAAAACATTGGCAGCTTGCACTCCTAGCTCTAGGCTTACACTGGCACCAAACCTCCAACCTTTCTCTCACATATGTACACACAACCCCTGCTGGAGATCAGGACTGTTGGAATTGAAATCTGCTCACCAGGTAAGGGCTGGGGACCCTACATCAGAGGGCGAGACGGTTCCTTAAATCACTTCATATCACTGGTCCGTGTCACGGGCCTCCCTACAGGCAAGGTCCCACTCTACTAAAAGGGCTCACTGGGTGTGTAGAGTTATCCAAGCGTCCTTGGATATGGTACGGAAAGTCACACCCAAAGGATACCAAATTCCAGATTTTGGAAAAACAAGTCCAAAGACTGGTGTCAGCTCCATCTCTGGGCTGTTTGGGTGGCTGTCCTGTTGACTCCTGCCTCCAGGGATGAGGGAACCCACTCGAGCTAGGTCCCTCCCTGGACTGGCCCCGCTGAGTTGTCTCTGGAATGGACAGGTGACAGGTGCTGCCCTTCTCCTGCGACACTTTCAGTTTTGCTTCTGCAGCCTCCCCCTGCCAGGCCTTGGCTGCAATGCACAGCTGGAGAGCCGGCCCCATGCGCCACAAGAAAACTTGCTTTGGCCAAGCTCTTGGGCCTTGTTCTGCTGTCCCAAGCAGTTTTAAAAGAAGGTGAGGCGGGACGGCCTGGGAGCGCTAGCCAAGCCAAGCAGACCAACTGAGCCCCATCTGGAGAGGGGTCCGGGCCCTGCCAGCTGGGCGGGCGGGTGGGGCTGGGAAATGCCGAGTCAGCCACATTCCAGCCTCTTCCTTGAAAGGCCATCGACAAGTAGCTGCGCTGGGCAGGAAGGAGGGAGCCACAGTACAGACGGTCTCTCCTTAGGGGACCACATGAGGGGCCAGAAGGCTCACACAGCCCACCCCACCTCCCCTCAAAATTGACTTTCTCTAGGGTGAGATGGAGAAAGGAGAGGGTTTCCCTGCTCGAGAAGATTCTGCCAGCTGGGATCTCAGAACTCTTCCTCTGGGTCTGATAAATGCTAATGGGCACCATGGGAGGGCTGATCCAAGGGGGAGCTCTCCTCCTGGAGCCCTGGTGGGAAGGACCATGAGGATAATTCCATCATCCCCCAAACCTTCATTGAGAACTGCCATCCTCCCACGCACTAACCACAGATGGTTCTGTGGATACCCCATTCTACTTTGCCCATTCTTAGATTTGGGCAGTACCGCTCCCCTCCCAACCCCAAAATCGGTCTGGAAGGCCAAAAAGGAAGCAGATATCTCCCCTCCCTGCCATGTCCTATAACTAATAAGTCATCTTCAAATTGGATTAATTTCACCGATAAAGCTTCAGCATCCCTTCCCGCATAGCTGTAGTGCGGCCTCTCCTCACCTGTCTCTCTGATGATAGCTGTAACCTTCCCACCCCATCTTGCTCCCTTCCCATCCAGCTTCCCTAGAGCCTTCAGGATGATTCTTCAAAAATGCTCACCTAATCATGGGTGTCGTGCTGCCCTTGGCATGAATCACGAGGCCGGGCGTGATCTGGTCTCTGCCCAAATCTACAGCCTCACCTTCTGCCTGCCTCCCAGATTTAAGCCATACTTCTCACGTCTCCTTGCACAGGCCCTACCTCACGGCCCCTAGGGCCCCTCTGCCTCAGTCCATCTAGATTGGGGCATTTTCCCTTCATACATGAAGATGTGGCTCAAATGTCATCTCTGTGAAGCCCTCCCTCACATGCCCTCTTGCCCCCAAGTCCCTGAGGCACTTTCAGGGCTTCTATTACCATACTGAGTTCATAGTGCAATCATGGATTATATACCTCTTCTCTCAACCAGACCGAAGCTCCTCCAGGCCAGGGACTATGCCTTTGTCCCCGTTTGCCCCCAGAACCCCACACAGCGCTTATAACAGGGAAGAGCGGAGATGTAAGAGTTCATGCAAAGCCCAAATCTCCAGGCCTGGCAGGTGGTAGGTCGGGGAGAGGTCATGACTTCTTTGTCCCCTCTTCCCGCTGGCCCCAGCGGATGTCCAGCCTTAATTACCAGACCCTGAGAGGAGGGAGGAGGGATCAGATGTGTCTTCCTTGACTTCAGCCTTCTGTGCCTACAGGCCCAGTGCTGCCTGAATTCAGGGCCAAGGCTAAAGCGCAGGTAGCCTGGATTCTCAAAGTTTCTTCCACAGCCCTACTCCAGATGTGCCGCCCAGCCTTCACCTGCCCTATGCCTTAGCGCTTACAGCATAGAAGAGTGCCTGGCCAGGGTCCATCCACATGGTGCCCCAAGTCTCTCGGGCCCATGCAGGGTGCTGTCGGGCCCTGGTGACAGAGGAGCACCATGGTGAATTTGATGGCTAGGGTAGGCCTCATAGCAAGGCTTGCAGTAGGTGGTGAACCCTCTGCTGCGTAGGATAAAGAGGCCTTATCAAGGCATGCCTCTCTGCATCACCCAGGGATCCATCCATTTATCCACCCATCCTTCTAGCTGCTTATTTGTTCAACAGATATTTATTGGGCATCTACTATGTGCCAAGGACTATTCTGAGTTCTGGGAATACAGCAGGGAAGAAGGCAGACAATGTTCCTTCTCTACAGAACTTAAATTTTCATTTAGGAGGGGTGAGACAGACAATAAACAAACAAACCAGCAAAACATCAGCTAGGGTAATGCTTGGCTGAGAAATTAAAAAGCAGTGTGGTGATAGAAGGTGACTGGTAGCCCTTTTAGATTGGTTGGTTGCTAAGAAGGTGACATTTAAATGGACAATCGGGGCGGGTCACAGGAAGATGGGGCCTGATATTCCAGACTGAAGCAGAAGCTGCCATGGAGACCCGGGGGGCAGGCAGGAACCCAGAGGGTTCAGGTTCAAGGCCTGTTTGAGGAACAGAGAAGGACCAGCAGCTGGAGCACAATGATGGGAGGGAGGACATAGCCGGCGAGACCCTCCTGCAGGCCAGTTCAGGTCGGAGCTAGAACTTACCCTAAACATAATGAGAGACCTTGGAGGGCTTGAAACCCAGGAAAACTGGTAAGCCTGGCAGCAGCCTCCCCTACAAGGGCTTTTCTCTCCCTCTTCCTGCCCCTCACCCCTCTTCCTGGATTTCTAAACTATTTCTTGATTCCTCTTGCCTGTCTTTTGATTTTGAGTGCAGCCTCTAAGTAACACAATTACCAGTGTGGTTCAAACTTTTCATTCCCATCAAAACCAAACACGGGTTTGGCATAATAGGAGCTTAAAATGAAAAGCATGTTTAGGAAAGAATATATATTTTTTAATCTTCTCCCAAGCCTGTATCTGTATTACACCTAAAAGAGAGGGTTTTTAAAAAGAAAAAAGAAAATCTCTTCCCTAAGGACACATTGATATTAAAAACTGGTATTAAAAACATTATACACTTCTTATTTTTTATTTTCTGTAAAGATCCCTTCGGCCTGCGATTTGAGGGCAAGGCATCAAGTCCTGATGTCCCCTGGCTGGGGACCCCCGCCTGTGCCCTCAGCCCCTGCAGGCCCCTCATCCACTGGCCCAGGACCCAGTCGGGTCTGGTACTTCCCTGGCACCCTCAGTCCACCTGGGACCCCGGCCAGACCATGCTCAAGGGCTGAGCTCCCAAGGAAGCAAGTGGGACGCACTTGAAACCTCGTCTCCTCAGGAGTGCTTGCAAAAGCAGCAGGCAGGCTCCCCGAGTGGCTGGTCAGAGCCAGCAGCCCCGGGGGGCTCTGGGTGGGAAGCAGCCAGACCTGGAGTTTTGAAGCCCATGCCCCCCCCCCCCCGGGTACTTTTTCCACTCTCTTCTAATAAACACAAATATCTCATCCTCAATTTTGCATGAAACCACCGGTATTCCAAGCGTAAGTAACAAAGGCATGGAATACTGAATAAGCGCTCACCATCTCCCCCGCCCCCTCTCCCCGGAGGTATGGGTACGGTCCTCTCTACTGTAGATGCCCAGTGGCTGAGCACCGTCGGAGCACCCTCGGCTGCCTCCAAGCAGCTCCCATCTGCCAGCCTGTCAGCCCGTCTCCATCTTCTCCGACGCGGTGCTGTGCTCCTCCTGGGGAGGCCTGATCCCATCCACAGGGCGTGCAAAACTGGACACCAGCCCGAGAGCTCACAGGCTGGTGGGGCTGCTGAGTTAGTGCACCGGACCAGCAGCTTCCGAGAGTGGCACCCAGGAGGAGGCAAGCTCTGCGCTCACTTGGACGTGGCCTCACCTTGGGTCTTCCGGACAGCCAGCCTCACCTGCCTCACCTGCCTCAGGGCGCAGCACCACTGATGGCCCTGCACCCCCGTGCTGGATACACACACGCCCTGCGGCTCTGCGGCTCGCCAGCCTGGGCCCCTGACAGGCCTGGGAGCCCGGACCTGTCACCGTGCTGGCATTCCTTGCCTTGCTGATGACATATGCCTCTGGGCAGATGGGAGGGACTAGCCCCCCCCCCCCCCCCCCCCCCCTTGGTGAGCCTCCGAGCCCAGAGGCAGGCTGCCCAGCCCTGCCAAGCCTGGCTACTTCCTCCGCTGCTGTAGGAACCAGAACCCCCACACACACACCTCCCCCCGCCCCCTGCTGCTGTGCCTGCCCTCTGGCTTCCTGGTTCCCGACTGTCCCTTCTGTCTCATCTGTTGCTACTCTCCTCTCCGCCTCACTCCATCCTCCCCAGCCCAGCCATCCTGGACTATGAATGTGCACTTTCTTGGAGCCACAGTATTCTTTCCTTTTTCTTGGGATGGCTCTCCTTCTTTCACTGGCTAAGTCCTACCTGTCCTTCAAAATTCAGCCCAGCTATCACCTCCTCCAGGAAGCTTTTCTGATTCCTCCAGATTGAGTTGGCAAACCCTTCTCTGTTCTTCCATCTCATTTCTAGCACTTAGCACACAATTTGCAAGTATCTGTCTATAGCCTAAGGTGCCCACTAAGCTGCTTACTTTGAAGACATGAATATGCCTTACATCCCTGCATTCCCAGGCCTTAGACCACTGCTTGGTGTGCTGTGTATGTTCACCAGGTGCTGAAGGGATAGATGGGTGGATGGATGGATAGATGGATGCATGCGTGCGTGTGTGCTCCAACCACTGACCTAATGGGCTAACTGGTTAGTGAGTGTCGGGATGCTGGTCACAGGGCGTGTGTCCATTTCAGCCTCATGTCAGGACTGCCTCAGCCCACGTATCAGTTCCTGAACTAAATTGGATTTGGATATGGCAATGTCCAATCCCACTGCCGGAGCCCTTGGGATTTTCAGGAAGCCAAAAAGGCACATGATTCCTGCCTTCTCAGAAGAGAAGAAAATCACCAAGTGCTGTGTCTTCCCCCTCTGCCCATTACAGACCCCTCCTCCTTCCTGCGACTCTCACCCCAGTGCATCTACTCCGGAGACTAAGGTGCTGGAAGTCTCCAGACACCCTGAATTTGCCTGTAATCAGGTAACTAAAAGGTAGAGCCAAGCAATTCCCAAAGAACAGGGAGGGGAGAGGGTGAGATTTTTGGCAGAAGGTGGGACCAGCCCTTGCCCTGCCTAACCCCTCCCCGCTCTCCTGGCCTCCTGAAGCTTCTGAAAAGTCGGGGGACCCCCATCCCCCGCTGGGTCTGAGTCCTGCTCACATTCTCACCTCCCACCTCCGGTAGGCGCTGCTGAGTTAATGGCCTGCACCATGTCAGTGGTGAGGGCATCCAGTAGGCTGGTGATAAATTCCATCTTCTTCCCTTCTGGACAGCCTGAAAGATAAAGTGAGATTTAAAGGCAGCTGTCAGGTAAGTAATCAAGTAAACAGCCTCTTCAACGGCCACCATTTCCCAAACTTTTCCAAGTCCTTCTTGTCCAGCCAAATCCACTCTGAGAACTGTTTATTGCTCAGATGAGTCTCATAAACCTCCGCAGTTCCTCTACTCACGGCCTGCAAGGGACCGTCAGAACAAACAGAAAATCATGCTTTCGCTTTTCTTCCATTCCACAAATTTTTGCTGAGTGTCAACTGAGCCACTGTGTCAGATGTTAGGGATTCGGTACACAGGGTCCCTACCCGCCCAAGTTTGTGGTCTCCCGGGAACGCAAGCTCGTTCTGGGAGAGTCTGGGTGGTCAGGTGCTCCCTGGTGCGTCCCACGTGGTCACGCTAGAGCATGAGAAACACTGCTCTCCCAGGAAGGAGCAGGTGCTGAGGGGGCACAAGGGACGGAGCCAACCCTCAGTGGTCAAAGTTGACTCAAGTAGCCCTACCAGTTTATTTCTCCAAGAACCGTCTCCTTTCTTCACTTCTGTCTCATCCAGCTTAGGTTATGCTGATGAAACCTCCCTTCCTTTGTTTCTCGCTTGCTCCATTGCACTGTTCCAGGAAAACCCCAAGTCTCTCCCCCACACATTAGTTCTGCTGGTGTGAGCAACCAGGGAGGTGGGCGTCTCTCTAAATTCATGACTGCCAGCCCCAACTGTTCCCACAACCCTCCTCTCTGTGACAACAACTCACTCTCTTCCCTCCACAAACCCGCCAGGTCTCTGGTGAAGCGCCACCTTCTCAGAGAAGCCCCAGGACCCTGAAGTAGGTCTCATGCACTCTCATGCACCTCTCCCTGCACTCCTACTCTTTCCCTTCAGAGCACCTCTCACGGCTACGTAGACTGGCTTGTATTCATTTATTCGTATATTCTCCGTTTCCTCCGCTGTGGGAGCCCCATGTAATTCCGAGCACCGGATCGTACCCAGCGCCTGGCACATCGCACAATCTCAGTTCACAGTCGTTGGGGGGATGACCAGAAGGAGGTACCCTGGCCTCTACGACTCCCATCTTGGGACAGGGTGGTTTTTACAACCGAACTTTCAGGAGCCTCTGCTTTCAGGTCCCAGGGTGGAGTCCTGATGGGGAGTGGGGAGTGGGAAGGTGGCCTAGCTCCCCTCAGCACTGATCCCAGTCTGTGCTTGCTAAAGACCACCGTGTTCCGGGGCGCCTGGGTGGCTCAGTTGGTTAAACGACTGCCTTCGGCTCAGGTCATGATCCTGGAGTCCCGTGATCGAGTCCCGCATCGGGCTCCCCGCTCAGCGGGGAGCCTGCTTCTCCCTCTGACCCTACCCCCTCTCATGCTCTCTGTCTCTCATTCTCTCTCTCTCAAATAAATAAATAAAATCTTAAAAAAAAAAAAAAAGGACCACCGTGTTCCAATATTTAGTGACCTTATTGTCACTCCCTGGCAGAGCACACTCTAGATAAGAGAAACCCATCACTGCAGCCAGTTGGAGGTCCTGGGCCCCCTGCCTGCGCGTCTCGTGTCACATCCCAGTGGGAGTCCGGTGCCACCAGGATGATTGTGCAAGCACCGTACAGGGCTGGCCACGGACACTGCCCACGTCCCTCAGGACAGCCCCTCCCTGAAAGCTCTCCTCTCAGCTCCCAGAACACTGTCCCAATCACCCCAGGATGGACAAAGAATTGCAGGATTGCAAGGACAGGATTTTAACCTAATGACCCATTTTGAAGATAAAAGCTAAGAGCAAGGAGGAGAAACAATGTGCTCAAGGGCACAGGAGTAATTAGGGACAAACCCCAGCCTAGATGCAGGTCCCAGGACCCCCCCACCCAATCCTACAGAAGAGGAAGCAGAGTCAGAGCAGAGGAGGGAGCCACGTCCGCACGATGGGAGGTGGAAGAACAGAAAGAGGTGAGAGCACCAGCAAGGGGCAGCCTTGTCTCCCACCTGGCAGCTCCCTGTCCTTGAAGGGATCGTCCACCTCCGCAATCTTGGCCCTGGCATCGCTCTCACAACTGGGCATCACGTAGCTGGGAAGAGAGACACGGGTGGGGGGGGGGCGCGGGGAAACGTGAGGAGGGGCCGGGAACTGAGCCCACTGGAGCCACGCCCAGCAGCAACCATCCTGCTGCCACTAAGCCTAGAACTCCCAGGGCTGGCAGCAAAATATCTCCTGCGCTGTCCAGCACCTGCCAGGCTATCCCGGTAGCAGGGTGCCCACTGAGACATGTTCGGGCATGTCACTGTCATCACTCAAGCAGAGCGATGTCACCTCGTGTCTGCACGCAGGATCCACAGAACCGAGGGACTCAGGCAGGGCCTTAACGTTCTAGCCAGTAAACTGAGGTTCTGAGGGGCCACCTACTTTTCCGAGGTCACCCAGCTAGGAGCGGACAGAACTGTGACCAGAACCCAGGACCCAGGTCTTTCTACCAGAACCCTATCTGCCCGTGAGCAGAAGCGTTCTCCTAGTGCCCTGATTCCCACCGGCCCAGGCAAGCAGGGAAATGTGAGGCTAGCCTAACAGGAAACTGCTCCTCCTCCCCCAGGGTCCATCGCAGGGACTGGACAGGCTGGGGGGGGCGGGGCTTACCGCGTGGAGGTTCCAGGCAGCGGGCGCCCCGTGTCCACCAGCACACACCAGCAGTAGCCAGTGGACTGGTGGCACTGTACCGGCTTGTAGAGCCCCCCGGGGGCGCACTCGGGGATGACGATGCCCTCCCGGGGACTCTGCCGGGCCTCTTCCAGGGCGCTCTGCCTCTCCTGGTCGCACGAATGGACTTTCTCTGCAAGAGAAGAGGCAGCCTGTGGTGACTCTCCCGCGCTCGTGGCTCATCACTGCTGCTTTCTGAGCAAGGATCCGGCCTGGCCCCGAGCAATGGGTGGCTGGGGAGTCACCAGGCAGAGCTGTGGTTCCCACACTGGTCCACGGTGGGGGTGGGGGCGGGGGGCTGGAGGCCCAGAACCGCCCTGTAGCCTCTCCACTGCCAGGGGTCATTAGCACTCACATGCAGTGCGTTCTACGGGCCACAGGCCCGTGGGGGCTGCAGGGCCGCTCCTTATCTGAACGGCACTTTGCCCTGGGGGTGGAGTTTCCGGGCTGTTTGCAGAGTGGTTCCCGCTGATGCACGGTCTCCTGGCTCTGGGAGAGGCGGAGGTGCAGGAGCCTGACCCCTGAGAGCTGACAAGCTGACGCAGGCATGCCTGTGTGTGCGGACACTCTCCCAAGCCCAGCAGGACAGAGCCACGGCCGCCAGCCCCAGGGGATCGAGGCTCAGCGCCCAAGAGGAGCAGAATCAGGGCCATCCCCACTCCATCCCAGGCTCCAGCACGGCTGAGCAAAGTAGGCTTGACAGGCCCGAGCCCAGGACACAACGCTGCTCTATCCGGTGGGGGAGAGACGCCCACAGGAAGCGTCTGCGCTCAGCAGCCGTGGGCAGCCCGTGAACGCGTCTGAACGGCCGAACCTGGTTTCCGCGGGCCGGGCCCAGGCCTCAGCCCCACACGGCCCCTGGCCCAAAAATTCCACCCAACGGTCTACCTGCCTGACTTCCCTCTCCTGTTGGGTGGCTGTTGTTGTGTTTTCGTTTGTCTTTTCGTTATTAAAAATAAATAGCATTGGGGTTTCTTTTCTTGGTATAAAGAAAATTGTGAAAAACCCAGAATCCCACCGAAGTTAAACACTACCTTCCCTAGACCTTCGCTCTTGCACCTACAACATGAAAATACCTATGCACACACCTACTTGTTTGTTTTTTTACAATAAAAGGGGTCACATCATAGACCTGTACTATTACTCTGCTTTCTCTACTTCTTTATTATATCTTTATTTCTTTCACGAATATGATGCCACAACTTCCCTCTTGAAGATGACAGGAATAGTCTTGGGCATCCCATGAAATGTTAACAGTGTGTTATAAAAATACCATTCTTCGAGCCAGGAGGTCGGTATCAGTAACCTGGAGACTCATGCTACTCACTGAATAGCACCAACGGTCAAAATAACAGCAACTCAACTCTAAAGGAGCCAAACCTCTGAAATAACAGCTCCGTCAATGACCCACAAATGAGCTGTACAGAGGTTTCAACAAAGCAGGGGTACACGGCGCCGCGAAGCAGCCCAACGCTGTGTTGGGGAAGAGTCACACAATGGGGAAAAGATTCTTTGTCTCACTCCCAGGAAAAATGTTGAAAAGCAGTAGCCCAGTGACTCTCCTTGCGGGGGAGGGGAATGTCTCCTTAGGGGCATAAAAATATCTCAGGGTCAGGAAGTGTGTATGCCGAACACATTCACTATTAAAATATAACTTTGAATTTGGAAAATGACAAAAAAAATACTACTGTTTTTATAATGTAAACACAGAAAAACTAAACAGGGGCGCCTGGATGGCTCAGTTGGTTAAGCGACTGCCTTCGGCTCAGGTCATGATCCTGGAGTCCCTGGATCGAGTCCCGCATCAGGCTCCCTGCTCGGCAGGGAGTGTGCTTCGTCCTCTGACCCTATCCCCTCTCATGGGCTCTCTGTCTCTCTCATTCTCTCTGTCTCAAATAAATAAATAAAATCTTAAAAAAAAAAGAAAAAGAAAAAGAAAAACTAAACAGAACCTCCTTGGCTAGACGAACAGGAGTTCCCAACAGCTGACAGACCAGAGACTAGGGATTCTGAACCCGATTAGAACTACCACCAGAAGAGCCTCTAGAGGCAGCTGGAGTAAGAGACAGAAACTGATTGGTTTATCAGAGACATAAAGCTGGCTTGAAGGCCCAGAATTTTGACTTGGGCCACGGCCCCTGCCAGGGACGATGCAAGAGTTTTTCAATAGCTCCCCCAATCCCAATTTGGTTACCTTATTTCCCAACCTCATATTTCATGCCCAGAGAAAGGCGACAGAGGAGCAAAACCAAAGGAAGACAGCTTTTTACTGGCACCACGTTCATGCGACAACCTCTGACGGAGGCTTTAAATTAAGATCCTCCCGGCCAACGTTCTAAAGCCATCAATCCAGCCTGAAAGCGAGAGGCAGAGAGAGTGAGGGGAAGCTTACCCAGGGGCAGCGAGAACGATAACCTGACTTCACACGGTTGGGATTCCGAAACTGCAGAAATGTGGAGAGGAGCCATCTAAGAGGAGGTGGCAACCCGTGGTTTGGGGGCTGTCGACAGACTTCTGGAAGTCCTTGAAGGCTGCTCTGACCTGGGTGCAGCCAGCTTCCACGGAGGCCGCACGGAGTTCGACGGAGAATAAGAACCACACAAGTGATAAAACTCGCTAATTTGGAAAAATGGGGGCTGGCGTGGAACTAGAGAGAAGGCTAAGTGTAGGGGTTATGGCTTGTTGGCATATACGCTTATTACTTTAGGACAGACCCTGAAAATTCCAGATGCCCCTCTAAGAAAGAGACAGGAGAAGTTTATAATAATATCACTAACCATCTGTGAAGAGTACCCAGAGAATTTATCTTCCAACAGAGAGAAGATCTCCCTTAAAACCATCTTTATGCTAATAATAGAGCAAATATTCATTGAGTAGTATATGCCTGGTGATAGACAAAGGGTTTTGCTTGCTTAATCTCTTTGTCCATCCGAGGGGGGCACTATGAGTATGCCCATTTTGTAGACAAAGGAGCTGAGCTTTGGAGGGATTCATGAATTTTCCTATTCAGCCAGAGAGAAGAGAGCTGGGACCCCAGTGAAGGTCTTCTGACCATCGAGCCTATCTTGCTAAATTTTAGACACAGGTTACTGCCTCTAATCATTTGCTCTGGGAGAAAAATACATTTACTTTTAGCGTGAAGTTCTTTTAGCTCAGTCATTTTGCAGACTCCCCAAATCTGCCGCATTCGAAAGCAAGTGTGTTAACTCACGTACTTGCCCATTAACACAGCACAGCTTTTTCTGAACCAACGATTTTTCTCAGCCTAAACAGACTACACATCTTGTACCCGAGTATTTTTGCCTCTTTGCTTTGGAACTGAAAACTTAAAGCCACATTCGTCACTCACCTGCCATTAGAGAACACAAAATGAATACGAATAGCTCACATCTATTTCAGTGTTTACCGTGGGCCAAGCTTGGTACCAGGCACTTGACTTGTATTAACTTACTTCAAGCTCATCACAAGCCTCAAGATAGGTGCTATTATTACCCTCACTGAGCAGAGAAGGACCCAGGAACACAGGCTGGCTGCAGGGTTTCCTCAAAGTCATACAAGTAGGGAGGAGCAGAGCGGGGGTTCCAGCCCCGGGGAGTCGGCTCCTGGGCTATGCTCCCCAACCCTCTTCAATACCATCTCTCACTGCCAGATGCTAGTCTGATTTTTATTCGAATCCCAATTCTTCTTTTCCTTGGTGTGGCAAATAGTTAGAAAATAGCTCCAGTGAATTGCACCTCCCCGTATCAGCCAGACGCTGACTGGCTTTGACCAATGCAAAGGGCAGACTGGGGTTCCAGTGTGTCACTTCCAGGCCTAGGCCTGTAGGGGCCTTGCAGCCTCACCTTTCATCTTCTTAGAAGCTGCCCTGAGAGCAGCACAGAAGGAAGCCAGGCCAGCACACTGGAAGATGAAAGGCACACAGAAGAAAACAGGAGACCCTCAATCCGCAGCCAGCACCAACTGCCAGAGGTATGACCTTGGCTATCTTGGCCGCTCCTGCCCCATGGACCCTCCAGCTGGATGAGCCAGGAGTGAGTTCAGACAGAGCCCGTCAAGGAAACACCCAGCCAATCCACAGGAACATGAGAAAGGCTAAATTATTTTTGTTGTCAGCCATTGAGTTTTGGGGTGGTTTGTTACCCAGCAATAGAATGTGAAACACCTCGACTTGCTCAACTCCATATTTATCAATTTGCCCCTTATATAAGGACTTTTGTAGCCCTCCCACACCCTTCAGTCAATCAGTGGATCAATAATCAATCAATCAATCGATTATTCCTTCAGAGCTTCTCCAGAGGTCATGCAAATACAAATCAGAATGTACCAACGGGCATAAACTCATTCTGTATCTGAGGACCCAGAAGCCAGCCCCATCCTTAGGGCTGCTGTCACCCTCCGCCCTTCTGGGTCGCCTCCCAAATGAACCTCAAAATTCACAACTATCCATTTCCCCAGGTACCAAGAAGTCACCTTGCAATAACGTAAGACAAGGGGTCTCCTTTGAGGGTCTCTTCCTGACCCTTGGTTCAGAGAGGGAGCTGCCCAGAAGGAGACATGTCCACCGCTTTAGAACATCGGTCTCTGCTTCAGAAACTTCAGGGAAGGATGACAACATCAGAAGGTCTGGCCTGATGACGAGGGGAGCAGTCAGGGCCGGCCAGGGGGCGTGCAGAGACAGGCCCACACATTCTCACACACTCGCACACCCCACCCGCACAAACCAATGCCAGGATGGTACGAAGGAGAGACGAGAGCCACGCCACTCCTCACCTGGCAATGCGGGCTTTGAGTTTCACTGACAGACCGCTGGCTGCCTGAGAGAAGAAATACAACAGAACAGTATCCCGTGGAAGAAGGGAGGACTCGGGCTGGCCCTTGCCACCAGAAAACACAGCCCTCTCTGCCATCACTTACTCTAGCTCCAGAGCAAAGCAGGCCTGAAGCGGGGCGGCAGGGGCAGGGAGGGGGACAGGCGAGGGAGAGACTAGGCTGAACCAGACGAACCCAAACCCTGTCTGCGGGCCCAGGGCATGGGCTCTCACGTGTCCCGCCAAGACAGGATAAGCATGGAGAACAGCTCGGCCTGCTGTGGCTAGTCCCTGCCTCTGTGCCTCTCAATTACTCGTGGTAATT